AACCAAAAATATGGGAAGTCTTGAAATAATAACTACTGTTCTTTAAATATAAACAAAGAAATGCTATTTGGGCTCCTACACCTTTCTCATAACATTTTTATTTGTTAATGAACATTTCTTGGTGCGAGCTATTTTTCAGAACATTTTCAAAAAGTGGTGGCAGTACATGTCCCCAGAGTCCCCAGTGTAAATGACCCTCTCCAGCCCTGCTTCCACAGCCCCACTGAGTTTTTGATGAAGGCTCTTGTGTCCTGTTGATCTTGTACATTTCCAGTATTCCAGTATCCATGTATATGGCATTGAGTCGTGACATTCTTGTAGTCAGTCCTGGCGGTGCACAGATTGGTCTGCCTGGTCTTGCAGTTTTATTTTATTTTGCTCAGTGAAGGCCACTTTTGAATGCATATTCTACAGGCTACCTCTGTCCTAAATGTTTCCTTCATGTTCAGTGTGAAGGAGTCAAATGACTGCTATACTGTTGTTTTTGAATGTTGCACTAAAGTGCAAGTTCAAATGTTACAATACAGTATAATACAAGTTACAATATTAATGTTTGAATACAAGTAGCACTAAAGTTACAACGTTGAAATATGCTGGGTTTTTGTCTTTGCATCTCCAAATTGTCACTGTTGTATAAGGGGTTTTGATATGTAAATTAGTCATGCTGGAATATGATAGAACATTTTAGTGTCAATGTTGAGAACTACCATCAACAGTTTTAAATGTTTTACTGGTTCTTAACTGGTCTGAAATATATAGAAATTTTGGTGACTGCACATGAGAAATTAGTTGATTTACAACACATGACCCATGGGTCACAATTGTGACCGAGCATAAAACACACTACTTTTCCATGTAAATTAGAAAAAAAGAATGTTTGAATGATTGTTACTGATGACAGATGATTTGGATATTTTCAAATCTGGGAAAAATTCGGGATTAAAAGGGTTAATATTAAATGCTTTCCCCCCATATTTCAAGTGATGTTTTTGGAACATTCAATAGGAGACGGTTATTGCTTCTAAGAGAATAAATAGGATCATAATTTTGCAGGATGAATAGCTCTTGTGAGTAGATAGGATATTTTAAATGAACACATTAGAAAAGAAACTGGTAGCAGTGCACCTGCCGTCTATTTTCAAGAGAAAGCCATTGCAGATGATTGTACAATATAAAGTGGTGAGTTAAGATGTGAATAAATCTGCATCAACTATTAAATGTGACGTGAATATGACAATTTTGCCAAATCAGTTTTTGAAGCATTTTCATACATAACGTCTCCGTAGTCAAGCAGAGGCAATAACAACCGGGATACCAGCCTCAGTTTTATATTCATGGTGAGACAGTCTTTTTACACATTAGTGTTTTTTATCGGATCATTCAGAGTCAACCCAGGCAACCTCAGTGAGTATAACACCATCAGATGTAAAACTAGAAAAATTATCAGGAGCAGATTTAAGCCGCAGTTTTGAAGCGAACAGCATGATTTTGACTGCACAGAAGCAGTGATCTGTAACATATTGGAACTGGTCTTTCCTGTTCCTCAGGAACAAAACTGTCCACTTTTGCACGGACTACACTCTGCATACTGTGTTTCATAGTAGTATGCAGCATGTACTACATACTGCATACTACTATCTGTTAAATAGATTTATTTTGCAGTACAGCTGCAACGATTAGTCGATTGCAAGAAAATTAATTGACAACTATTTTGATAATCGTTTCAGTAATTATTTTAAGCAAAAATGTGGAAAATTGCTTGTTTAATGTTCTTAAATGTAAGGAACTGCTGCTATTCTTTTTCATTTATCATAGTAAATGAGTGTTTGGGTTGTGGACAGTTAGTTGGACAAAAGCAGAAATTTAAGAGGGGTCTATTCCACCACCTACAATGCTGTCCTTTCATCACTTCCCAGGAAACTGAACAACGATGGTCGTTCAGACTTGGCCTCCGGTGGTTCTAACGACTGTCGTTAGACAGCTAGGAGCACCTAGCTTGAACCAAATCCAGATGCCCTTGATTTTAACCTTTGGATACCACTCTGTATGTCTGGTCTGAGCTGGACTCGAACTGGCGACCCTCTGGTTTACAAGCCAAGGCCTCACAGACTGAGCTACTTCCACCCCCAAAGTAATAAAGATTAAATATTTTTTTGAAAGACCAGTTGTTGTGACCGTTCTGGCGCTTTGCATTGTTGGACATCCGATGCATACTGGAGATTTTTTCTGAATCAGTACGACATCAGGGTAGTTTTCTGCGATTTGGCTCGTTGTTGGGTTTTTTTGTATATTACATTTATGCCAAATCAATATGTACTGCTACTATTTGAATACAGCCACAAACATCTGTCGAGCTCTAAAGACGATTTTACAAAAAGTGCCGTTTTATAAAAGTTAACTAGAGCAGCAGTTGCAGCAGTCAGGGTGGGCTCATCTGTGTTCCTGGTGATTCCCATCAATAACTCCTCTTTTTAACTATGAATCCCACCTGGAACATCGTAAACCTGTTTCTAACGAGATGATATAAAGAGTTGCTGTTACTCTGCATGTTTACATTCAGAGTGAAGAAGAAGAGCGACGGACTGAGAGAGGAAGACAGAGTGGCAGAAGTGTGAGTCACTCTCTCTCCTGTCAGACAGCAGGAAGAGCAGAGCGACACGGCTGCTGAGGAGGAGGAAGAGGAGGAGGAAGAAGAGGAGGAGGAGGAAGTGCAGGAAAACAACAGCTGGAGTGATGGAGCTCTGCACATTGTGGGAAGGATGCCAGAGTCAAACTGTCTGTCCGTGTGGAAACCGAGAAACATCAAGGTCATCTTTTAAATCACACCAGCAGTATTTAGATATCTACGGAAGCCCTAAGCATTTTTTGTTTTTCCTGTGATAATGAGGTAGTTTAATTTGTTTTCTTGAGATAACCGGATCATTTTCTTGAGATCTCGGACTCACAAAACTTTGTTTTCCAAAATAATGACTCAAGTAAATAGAGATCATGAGAAAACAAAAGTGATAGACTAGTTAGGAAATGACTGCAGGAAACATCAAGGCCTGACACAGGCTGAAATAGCTTTATGTCTTGCTGTTACAGATAAAATTCACATTGTTCGTTATACACATTGTTTTCTTGAGTTCTCGAATTCATAATGTCATTATCTCGGAAAATTATCTGTTTATTTTGGGAAAAATTTTGTTATTTCAAGATAATGTCATAAATAACTTGAGATCTTGAGAAAACATAAATTTAACTCGCTAACAGCGGAAAACAGAGATAATAACATGTGTGAATGTTTGACCTCGGGGCTTCCATAGATATCATCTTCACTTCATTACACTATTAAACTCTCACTAAAAGGAAAATACACCAGGTGACGATTTTATTTGTCTTTCGATTAAACTCAGCCTCCTTATGTTTTATTTTAGTGAGTCTCTGTGTTCTGCAGGATATAGTTTGAGAACGCAGGGAGGTGCAGACAAAGTCAATCAATATTATATAAGTCAGAAAACTCTTCTGCAGTGTACCTTGCTTTATTTATTTAATTTTCAAACCAGAAATATGTGGGAGTAAATGTTTTTCCAGGGGAAACATTTCATCAGGTGATGGGCTGTAAATGGTTTTCTAGAGAGGAGTTCTTCTTCAACCACTGAGCCTGATGGGCAATAAGACTCTTAAGTACTGTAAAGTAATTTAAGTACTTTTACTAGCATAGATTATTTCCATTTTATGCTATTTTATATCTCGACCACTGAATCTTTTTTACTTTATATTTATTTGACAGCTATAGTTAGTTACTTTTTACAGATTGGAATGAATATTCTCACCAGAATACTTTATTGATCCCCGAGGGGAAATTCTTTGTTACGGATACTTGCATAAGGCATTAAAGGAATATTCAATTCATGAGCATTTATATGGCGCCAAATCACAACAACAGTTGTCTCATGGCCCTTTTCATAAAAGAGAATATTATTTCACAATAGAAATAATAGTAGAAGTCGAGGATATAAGAAAGTTGAAATTTAAGAATGTAGTAAATAACAAATGTGGATATGTCTGCGCTATTAGCTCTTACTAGTATGTATTGTCTGTTGTAGATCTTGTGCTGCATTTGAGGAATTGTTGATTCTTGTATGTTGTTCCTCAAATGTAAGCCTGCCAAATGAGTAAATGTAATATGTACAGGAGTGTAATTATAAATGTAATGAATAAATAGTGTAATAATAATGAGAGCTGGTAGTGTTGAGGTGGAATGGATCAAAAATCCTACAGTTACAGTCCTAAAACACTAACTTAATGGGACTGAGTAACCTGAGTATTGAAACACAGAATGTTGCACTACAGGTTCAGTTAATGACTGATAACATTTACTAATATACAAATATAATATTTAACAACAATAGACTAATAAATGATGATGTATTATTACAGATTAGGCCAAAAATAGCTCTGCCTTTACCAGCTGCAATATTAGTGATGCTTATATATTAATGTGTCAATAATTATAATATAGTCATTCATACTTTTGAATGCAGGACTTTTACATGTAATAGAGTATTTCTACATTGTGGTAAGTAAAATATTTGACTACTCTGTACAGATACAGTACATCTGGATTCAAAATGTTACTTAAGTAAAGGTAGTATTAACATTAACATATTTTTAAAGTACTCCTCACAGAATGCCCATTTTCTGAATAATAGTATATAATTGGATTATGATTATTTATGCATTAATGTTGTAGCTGTAACCGTGGAGTTAATGTTAATTACTTTGTACACCATAATTTATTATCTGATTTTATATTTTTGAATTAATCATCTGAAACTGCAAAGTAAACAAAGCAGTCAAATAAACGTTTAGGGATGTAGTGAAGTAGAGGTATAAAGTAGCATCAAATGGAAATGCTCAAGTAAAGTACAAGTACCTCAAAGGTGTACTTTCCACCACTGTCTGAGCAGTCAGAGTAGAAACCAGTAGCGACGCCTGTCCAGCAGGGGGCGGTGTCACTTCATCATCTACGAATGAACCAAGAACCCGCAGACGGAAGTACAGCAGCAACAAAGTCATGCCTCCTGCAGGAACGTGAGCAGACTGCCGACATGGAGGAAACACAGTTTGATGATATTTTAGATGACTGGTTTATCGAGTCCCTGCGAACGTGAGAAATGTTTTCTCTTGGTTTAAAGTTTATGTTAGCTTGCAGCTAGAAGAGTCATTCAGCTGCTAACGAGCGGCGCAGTGAACCACGCTCCACTGTCTTTTAGTTCCCCTTAACGTTACTTGCCTGCAAGTGTAACGTTACGTTCATTTTAAATAATATAACAAGACATGTCCCGGATTCAATCCAGCCGCTTTAAAATTCGGCTTGCAGTTACTACGCTTTGAAGCATCTATTCTGCCTAAAGGGTCAAGTTTAAGAAGTGAGGAGCTCAGTAAACTCGTTTGAAAATCGCGAAAAGCTACAGCTCAACCTCAGTGCAGCAGTGTGTGAATTCTGTTTCATAAAGTCGTTGGTCTATATCAGTGTCTTTCAATGCTGAATTGAATAGAGGACTCTATTGTTCATTAAAAATATGCCATATTTTATAGCTAAGGTATCTGTGCTTAGCCCTGAGAAATAAAATATTAGTTTTTTAATTTTTTTTTTTTAAAGGAGTCTGGTGCGAAAAAACGATTAACATAACAGCCACATATCTGTAGAAATATTATTGGAATGTTTTATGATTTTGCGTTATGGAGAGTGGCGAGGTGAAGCTGTGGTGGAGGAAAGCAATCTATCCAAACTGAATTATCAGTACCAGAGGTTGTCTTAAAGTGAGCTGTAATTGCTTACTTCTGTAGTGTAATCTTTCTTTCAGCGTTCATCCATCTTATCTTCTACTCCAACACATCATTGTTCTGCTGCTTCATCTACAGCTTAGAAATAAAAAGCAGTGGTGATGATGAATGTATAATTTGCTTTTACAGTAACATTCCTGTCTGTGATTCGGGTCCTGAGCTTGTGAGCTTTGTAGTGATCCAGACTTATTGATCTGTTCGGTCTTTAACACCTGTCTTGTTTCTTCAGGTACAAAGATCTTCACGAGTATCACCTGGAACATCCCACCCAGGTCATCGAGTGGACATCCGGAAAGAGTGAGTTCATATTCTCCTACTGTATCTTTCACAACTTGTATGTTGTGTATTTAGTCAATTTCAAATTCTTAAATACACTCATTGGCCACTTTATTAGGTACACCTTGCTAGTAGCTGGTTGGACCCCCTTTTGCCTTCAGAACTGCCTTAATTCCTCGTGGCATACTTTCAACAAGGTGTTGGAAAGATTCCTCAGAGACTTTGGTCCATATTGCCGTGATAGCATCACGCAGTAGCTGCAGATTTGTCAGCTGCAGATCCACGATGCGAATCTCCTGTTCCACCACATCCTTAAGGTGCTCTAGTGGGTTGAGATGTGGTGTCTTTGGAGGCCGTTGGAGTTCAGTGAACTCACTGTCATGTTTAAGAAACCAGTTTGAGATGCTTTGAGCTTTGTGACATGGTGCTTTATCCTGCTGGAAGGAGCCGTCAGAAGATGGTACACTGTTTCCACCCAGGGGGTCAGTGTGGACATTGTGGAGGATTACAAATACCTGGGAGTGCACATGGACAATAAACTGGACAGGGCCAAGAACACTCGAGCCCTCTACTCTGTGGAGGCCGGTGCTATCCTGTTTGCAGTTGCATGCTGGGACAGCAGGCTGAGGGTAGCGGACGCTAACAGACTCAACACACTGAACCGTAAGGCCAGTGACGTTGGTGGGGGTGGAGCTGGACTCTCTGTCGGTGGTGTCAGAGAGGAGGATGCTGTCCAAACTACATGTCATCTTGGACAATATACTTAATATACCAACTTTCTATTTTTATTTAAATTCCTTTGCCTTTAGGTGCAACTGTGACACAGGATTTCCCCTCGGGGATCAATAAAGTATTTCTGATTCTGAACCAGTCTGCTAATTTTCCTAAAACATCAACAAGGCATTTTCGTCCACATAACTGCCGCTCACTGGATATTTTCTCACCCTAGAGATGGTTGTGCGTGAAAACCACAGTAGATCAGCAGTTTCTGAAACACTCAGACCAGCCCTTTCTCCCCCGTTCTGATGCTCGGCAGGTTGTCTCGACCACGTCTACATGCCTAAATGCTTTGAGTTGCTGCCATCTGATTGGCTGATTAGCTATTTGTGTTAACAAGCAATTGAACAGGTGTACCTAAGAAAGTAGCCGGTGTGTATTTATATTTATATAGATTTAAGCCTCTTGTAATGCTTACAGCCACCAAAGTCAATTTCTTGTGTGCGTGTGTGTGTGTGTAAACTACTTGGTAAGACAGCTGTTTATGATTCTGATGTAATACAATAAAACGATCATAGGAAAGTATATTAAAAACTGGTCTGGGGAATTTACAGCTTACTTGCAACCCCAAACAGCACAAACAATTATTTTGCTCATTTGGCAGCTTTATACACAGAAGTAAGACTAAATAAGAGACAGATTTAGGCCGATACAGACCCGTCTTTCATCCACTGTGACCAATGTTCACACAAAACAGGATCAGCAGGATGCTATTGATCATGTTTTACAAAGTTACACAGTAAGAGATGTGCTCACAGTGCAGCTTTTACAACAAACTTCCAAAATTGATGCTTTTAAGCAGTGCAGAAAAACTCAAGTTAAACTTTATCATTGTTTACAGCCGTGTGCGTCGCAGGATATGCCTCTTCTAAAAATGAAATCCTGGAGCTGCGTTTGCCTCTGAAGCTCTTCGCTGATGAAAATAAGGTAAATACAGAGACAGGCAAGACTTAAAACACAACATCCAAACGTCCCTTTTAGCCTCTGAAGTTTGTGTGTGTGTTGTGTTCAGGGTCTCTGCGCAGAACGGGATTTCAAAGTCATCAACGGTGGTTTGGCAGACGGTCCCGTCCGCTGCCTCAGACACGTCCCGGGAACAAGGTGAGTTTCAACTGGATCACCTGGAAAGAACTTGTTTTAATTTCTCTTTCTGTTTGTGTGTCAGTGATGTTATGGTCGAATTAGAAGTTCTTCTGCAGAAAACTTTACTTTCAAAGCTTCATCGTTTAGAGTAATTTTGATTAAACGCAAAAAAAAAAAACATGAATCCAATTAAACATCTTTGAAAGGACAAAGCTGAACAAGAGAACACAAAATGATTTATCTTTTATTCAGTTTAAAAGCTGCCTGTCTTATTAATTAGTTTTTTAAAAACCCATTTGTAAAGTTTTCATTCCAGCTCTGTTCGAATATTACACTGAAGTTGTGTTTAGAAATATGCCAGGTTTTTGATTTAGTTTTGATTATAGCCTAATTACACATTAAATACTGATTGTTGTATAGTTCTCTTGCTCCAGCAGGGGTTGCAGGTTATCTGTACATTGTGTCAACAGTGTTGTTATAGCCACAAAGTAACACTCGTCGTGCTCTTTTCCCCTTTTTGTTTTCTTGTGGTTGGTGGAAGTTGTAGTCGCGAGGACAGGGAAGGTGTAGCTTCAGGCAGCCACGGCATGGGGGAGAGATCTGACACGCGCGTTGCTAAAACGCTGCTGTGGATGGAGACCGTATTTGTTTTAAAACAAAAACAGAAGTGTGGATGAAGCCTTAATGTGGCAATGAGTCCATTGAAGCTGAGCACTAACTTCGTTCTTCCTTGGCTCCAAAAAAAGTTAAATCCTTGTGTAATTGAAACCAAAATGTCCCCAAAAAAGAATCTCCAATGTGACGAGTTGCTGCTTTCCTTTCTTTTATGACAATCAAATTGGTTAATTACTTCGCAGCTCTATGACGGAAGACAGGTGCGTCGGGGACAAGTAGGATAAAAGATTCAAAGAGACACTAGGGCTGCACGATTAATCTAATCACGATCGCAATGTCGTCATGTGCGAGTTCATAAAACACAAAGTGTGCGTGACGCTCTCTTCTCTGTGTGCGCTGGAGTCTGCTCATTATCCACGCCCACACCGGGCTCTCGCAGGTCCCCCTTCAAACAGGTGGGCCTACGTGCAATCACAAAAATGATTTATGAGCAGTGTGCCAGTAAATGTTAGACACACAAAACAAATGAAAATGCTTTGAGAAGGGTTGTTTGAATTGTCACCTGAATTTTGTTTCACTTTATATAAATAAAGACAATTGTACCATAAATTGGTGGAGACAATGTCTCCAGGATGCAGGAGATTATGTTTAGTGCTCAAATTTTGTTGATCAAAACCCTAACCCCCGTTTATATATTTCAGCATTGAATATTTCATCAAATAGTGTTAAAAAAATCTTCTTGTCTTGTCCTCGTGAACCCAATATTGTGAATCGTGCATGTGAGCTAAGAGTATTGTCACCTGTAGAGTATTGAACCCTTATGTCCCCACCACTTGTCCTTGATTCATTTTATGTTATCAAAATACAAACACGTCCCAAAAAGCTATAGTGTTAAATATGAATGTGAGTATTATATTAAAAAGTTTTATTAAATTTGTAAATAGATTTTATATTATACAGCAGTGAAGTTGGCATTAAATTTCATCCTAGATGGTATTAAAAAGGTCTCAAACAGTCTTAAATTTAACTCAGAATCCTGGGGGTACCCTGATTTAGATCCAGGATGCCAGTGTGCCAATATGTGCTCCTTCTAGCTGCCTCCGCCGTGGAGCAACACACTCCCCTGTATCTGTTTTACATCTGTTGTTATTGTTGTAAATATTGTTAATCGTTTAAGTTGAGAAATACATATTTCAGAATGTTAGTTTTTGTGCATTTCCCTTGATAATGAAGCAAGTAGACTCCTAGTTCAATTATAATCGCAATGACTTTTTTCCAAATCCTGCATCCCTACCCGCACACTGTCTAACGTGCAAAATATATAAATTACCTTCATCAGGCAAATGGTGTCACGTAGTGAGAAGCCATCTTTTGTACCCACTTCCTCATGAAATAAGGCAACAATCATAAAACATTCATTCACATTTCCATTACTACAGATTGAGCTGAAGCTTATATAACACTCTCTGTGGTATGATAGACGATGGAGTGATATGGAGGGCCGCTGCGAGGGCGTTTTAGTAGTTATAGGTGGAAGTCTTCTGCTCAGCTGATTGAAGCATCCTCTTATATGAGATCTCATTAACACTGGAGAGGTCCAGCTGAGGGGAGGACGAGGAGGTTTATTTGACTTGAATATTGAAATGAATGTCGTGTCGGCAGGTGTGTTGTTACCAACGATGGGCTGAGCTCAGACCTGCAGGTGTGGGACCTCGGAGGAGACGACAGCGGTGAGTTTCATCAGATTCAACACGAGTACCACTCCTGTGCAGGCTGCACCCACCCCCAGAACTCTCCCTCCCTCACACCCAACCGGTCAAGCACATGACCCTGAGACAGTCGGGGATTCTGCCTCTTAAAACCTGTTGGGGACTGCCAGCTATCTGCTTATATTTCCAGGAAAAACGATTAGAAGAACATACCCAAAACGAATCAGGAAAAACTCCTCAACCATTATGCCTAGATCCATAATGGTCTCCTTTGAAAGGTCAGAAGGTGAGGAATATAAATCCATTGTAAATTAACACTTTTATTTTACCATTACAGAGTAAATGGAGATGCAAAAATATGAGATTTTCATCCTAACCTGGTTTAAAAAAAAAAAGAAGCTATTTTTCATAAGATACACCTGGAACACAATTGTAACTGTAAATTTGTTGAAAATAAACTAAAATACAACGGTTTTCATACAATATTTTCAATATATACCAGGCAAATGTCCATATTTTGGCCATATTTACTGTTTAAATGTTGGGAGTTGTCCTTAAAACACTATTTCTGTCCATACAACCACGTTCCAAATAACATAACATTGAAATATTGTTAAAACTGTGAATATCCATCAACATTCCTGTGACCAAGAGCTTTACAGGCGTGTAGCTTGAGAACGGAACCTGCCACAGTGGATTGAGCAGACCTGTCATTTGATACCCTGGATGTCTATGTAGCTGCTACAGGCCGGCCACCACACCGCGAAAAAGGCCGTGTTCCAAAGCAGCACTTCTCTCTGCAGAAAAAGGCGAGACAGAACACCGGGTGTTCATTAATTAAATGGAAGTTTTTCCTTACCTCTGTCGCCAAGTGCTTACTCATGGTGACAATTGTTGGGTCGCTTTAAAAAAATATAACAAAAAGCACGGTGTGGACCTCCTCTACATAAAAAGTGCTACGAGATAACTTCTGTTATATAAATAAGTAGTTTGTTTCCTCACTACGTACTTCAAACTCTGATATTTTATACAAAGAGCTTTATGGTCTCGTCTTTGACCGATTTGTTCTGGAGAATAGTAACTGAGTAATAATATAGATCAAGCTTTATATATTTCACCTAAAAAAGACTTGGTGGTTTGTCTGCAGGCTACAGTCTCAACAACCTCCGGCAGTAAAGCAGGACACTGCAGCGTAATGCCTGGAGGAGATTGATATTTTTTTATCTGGACTAATCTGGTGGCTAGACAATAAGAGAACACGTTCAGAGAGACTTCAGTGATAAAAATCAACCTGGAACAAATTACAGCGAGAACAAAAATCTGGGTTTGAAAGTCTCCTGTGGGAATTACCGCCCTTGGTTTTATTTCCTGTCTCTCAGATTTCTGCCTTCACCCGAGACAACACAGGCTGAATGAAAATGAGTTTTGTGCTCACTGGGTGTCTGTACAGGATAGAAATAAAATGTATTAGATTATATTCACAGAAAGTATAAAACATATTACATGTGTTCATTGAAAGTAATTGGACACATGTAATTTACTTTACCGGACCTCCTCGGGGCCCGGACCCACCCACCATAGTCTCTGCACATCCTGAGTAGAAAGCACATTTTGACTGTTTAATTTATGCAACGGTAAAAAAATTTAAATAGTAAGAAAATGTGAAAACCTTGTTTGGTATTCAGGAAAGTGTGTCGTCATATCTGGTTTCAGCTTTGGCCAAGGATTTTCATTTTAGAAAGATATTCAAGTATCCAGTAGCATACACAACATACATACATTTCACCTATATTAAAATCTTTAAAAAAAATTTATAAAATTAACTTATAACACAGTAACCACAGTAAACAGTGCAAATTCAGTAAACAGTGTGAATGGAGGCAGAAATTGTCCTCCCTGCCTTTGCCATGCCATTTTGGTGCATCCCTAGTATTGAATTTTATTTGCATAGCCCAATATCAAACATTTTCCTCAGGGGGCTTTAAAATCTGTGCAGCATCTGACCTCCTCTGTCCTGAGAAATTCATTCAGATCATCCACCAACTTTTTTTGGGATAATATAAACCAAAGGATTTTTTTTTTAAAAAGAGGCCAGCTAATAAAAACTGTTTACTTATTTAGTGGAAGTGTCAACAAGACAAAACATTGAACCAAAAATAAATGATTTGGATTCTGACACTGGACCAAAAAATTTAATAAAAACACACCCAGCCATCTTTGTTCCTATGTTATTTAACCTTTGTGTTATGACTGAAGCAGATTCTAAAATGTGTTTTCTTGCAATGTGATTGGTTATCTACCTCGTCTCTTTGTCCAATGACAGATGTGATCAGAAGAACGGGAAGTATCGAGGGGAGGAGGCGATTTTCAGAGGGAGGCAGCAGGATCGCAGCTGGACTCTCGTCGCAGCCACAAGTTCTTCACGGAGCTCGGAGCAGCGATGTCCAGCTGACCCAGCTGATCTCAGGACAGATTCTATATAAACTAGGTAAATGCAGAGATCTGAAATGTACGGGTCCACTAACTTTATGTTCCTGCTCAGTTTAAAACAGCATTTCAGTTTCATTGGAAGCTTTTCAGAGAAGGAAGTCATTGGGTTTGTTTTGTGGTTCAAAATCAGCTTTAAAGCTGATGTTACACGGGGCAACTTTTTGTGCAGTGTTGCTGGGCAATACTTACTAAATGAACATCATGTTGTGTTGAAGACTTGAAACTAGCGACTGAGACCATAAACTCATCAGGAAAATGTTTACTGAGGGAATAAATCAGCTGAGAAGTAGAAACATTTTCTCACTGGTCACAGAATGAACTATTTGTTTATAAAAATAATTTAGATTTCTTTGACTTTAATTGACATTCTGAAATTTTCACCCGTATCATACAAGAATCAGAAATAGTTTATTGATCCCCGAGGGGAAATTGTTGCTCATGTTGCTAAGGAAGGTATTAAAGACAATGGAAATAATAAAAATGTTGGGAAGTATAAAATAGAAAAAGGTGACACATTAAAAGGAGTGAGGAAATATCTGCAGTATGTGACAGAAACATCTTTTAGAGCTTTAATGGTCAACTTTAGTCAATCGAAAGAAAAATTATCTTGATAATTGATTAATCATTTTTTAACCAAAAATCATGACAAATTGTAAGATATGATAGATCTTTTCCTTCTAGTGATGTCACAAGGGCTGTACATTGATTATTTTTCAAGTCAGTAAATCTAACTTGTTTTTTTCGATTAGACGATTAATCTAACGACTAATTTTGTTTATTCTAAAGAAAGAAAAGTTGCCCATTACTCGATTAACATACCAATTTATCCAAAATAAATATCAAAAACATGTCTAATCATCTGATGACGCACATTAGAATAATGACGCCACGTCACTGATGTGTTGTGATAACAATAACAGACATTAATTAGGCTACTTTACTTAAAACTTTAAATGTTTCGGACATGGATTCATTTCAATAGAGTAATGCAGTATGATGATCAAATGTATTTCTGCATCAGTGAACACCTGAAAGGACTCAGACTGTCCAGACAGTCACGGATCGTCTGTACTGTTAGTTTCAGCTGTTGTCTCGCTCATACGTGGCCGATAAACAGATAAATATGAATATAATATAAATTGGTATGTGAATTTCTTGTATACTAACTGCAAACACAGTGTATATTATTTAGATATAGAGATATAGATAGAGTAGTGTTGTAGTACGCCGCACTTGTACTCGTCTTGTCTCGCTCTCGGACATCGAGGACTCTGGGTTTTATTTCAAGACCATAACTTTGGGAAAACCAAAAATTACTTTAGCAGTGTCTGATTTGTTTGTTAACATCCAAACTTTGATTGGATGTACAACATATTGCTTCAAATGCAACCAATGACCCCAATTAAAAATGTGTTGTTACCGTAACGACCGTCCCCGCGATGATGGAAAAGGAGTGTTGAATAAAGATGTTTAAGTTGATTTCAGCTCTTAGTGTTAGAATGTGGATCTTTCAGATCAATTCGAGAAGTACCTATGATCTCGTTCCACATTTTATTGTGTGTCTTGTGATGTGGAAACTGGTCTTGGTCTTGACTACAACACTAATATATAGTGCATACTGCAGTCACTTATATGCTTGTGTGGAATGGAGACAAAGAAAGTGAATCTTAAGCTGCTCTTAAAGATGAAGAAACTGGTCAAATAAAAGAAACGTGAGGTAAAGGAGGACAAACTGTTTATTAAAAGCCTTGATTTATTCTGGTAATTAATGCTGCTGATGATAAGATGCGACAGGAATGTGACCACCAGTTGGCAGAGCAGCTGTTAAAAATACAGGACAAATATTTACATATTTATATCCCATATTTTCATAAATAAATATACATGTCATGATTTCATTGCAGTTTTAAAACCTGGTTGAGTCACTATTTAATGTTTTATTTCCATATGTCTCAGCTCGGTTTGTTGTTGGTAAGTTAGCGTATGTAGGTCTTTATCAGCTGAACTACAGGCCTGGTTCTTTTGCTGGTGTTGTTGCAGCAAGAGTCGTCTTATTTACTAGATTTCCTGCTGCTCTTCAGATTCAAACCAGTGACGTTCTAGTTGTGTATGTGTGTGTATGGGCTGACAAACGATTAATCGCATGTTTTATCACATGATTAAAATTCTATTATTACATATCAACTGTTTTAAGTCAGTATTAACAATGATAATTCTTGCCAGAGTATTTAGATTTCCTGGGGGGGGTTGGGGTGTCTATTACTCTGTTGAACTGTATGTAAAGACTTCTGATACCATTGCCTCCGCCAATGCATTGGTAAAACAGCCATCAGCAAAACACATGTTGCAGACTGTATATAAGACGGTGGCAGGTGAAAGTATGACGCGTTCTCTGTCATCTGTCCTCCAACACCGCACGCAGATGCCATAATGAACATACCTACTGGAAGTTCTAAGTAAATGACATGATAAATTGGTTAGCTAGCTCACAACGATGCTTATCGGCTTGATGCTCTGACTTAATGAGGCGTGACAGTGCGCCTGCGCAAGCTTGGAGAATGACGTATGACTTATGGAATTACTCTAGTCATACGACACCACTCTGTTTTAACAACTAAGAAACTTTTGCAACTTTGAGCACAAAATTAAGCTATTTGGCAAAAAATATTTGGCAAACTATGTGGGTAATAAACATTGTAAGGAAATGACTGAAAAATATGGAGGGGGGCTTTAAGCTTGCTTTCAGAAATTCTACAGCAGAAGTGCATGTACAAAATGCACACACATTATTATAAAGTGCATAATAAACAAAATACTCCATTGCTACATTGCACAACTGTGTTGTTGTTCATCTCCATGGCTGCAGCAGGAGGTAGGAAGTGTCTGTGGCAGCATGACAACAAGTAAGGGTGGATCGAAGGGTCAAAATAGTAGCAGCCAGAGATCTTTTTAGCAAAGATTCTGTGGTAACAGCACCAGTGACTGTGTAAAATAATAATTCACACACGCAATCAAAACAATTAAAACAGTCAGTCCTTGATCTCATCTCGATTAATGTGTTAATGCTGTCAGCCCATAGATAGATCGAGCGAGAGATATAATAATTTTAATATCTCATGTCTTAACGATTGCTTTTGTCCCAACAGAGACCGACTCAGCAGATCCTCTCAGTTCCTTACATTTTGTGAGTGATGCAGTCTTCCTCACCGGCTGCTGTAACGGGAAAGTTTACGTCGCTGACACTCGGACGTCTGCTGCTCCTCAGATTTCACCTCCACCTGCATCTTCAGGTGAATCCGTCCTCTGGTGGACAGATGCCTCCGCAGGTCTGTCCGGCTGCAGGATCCTCAGACTCTCCTCCTCTGGACAGGCGGTGATATCAGACCTGAGGAACCTGGGGGGAGCTATGAGTCTGGCTCGGCTGGACATCCAAACACGTCGCTGCAACCTGGACGATGTCAGAGTGTCGTGGGCTCCGGTGCTGGACGACTGTATCGCAGTGTCAGGTTAGTTTACAGGCACAAAGGAATCTCATTTAAAGGAGACTGTTTTGCTTTTCCACATTTTATGACTTATCTACAATGTTTGACCATGTTTAACATGAACATCATAACTTTCAAATAATGAGGTTAAAGAAATATCTGAGCAAAAAACTCAGATTTCCTCCTGTTTTGAACTGCTTTTTAAAAGAGACAGGAGCATACAGCCTGCTCAGACAGAACGAAATGAAGGCCTACATGAAGAATCAGTACAAGGGGGAAAAAAAAAAAAAAAAAAAAACTTTTTAACTTTCAATCATGCAAAGCTGCCATAACAGGAGTCACAGAACTACAATATAGGTCTGGAAAAGCAGCATAATAAGTCTCATTTAAGGAAATACACTTCCATTTCTGTTAAACATACAATTTCAGCCAATTAGCTTAGCAATAGGTGGAAACAGTTAAGGTAACCAGCACCTCTACAAACTCACTAATTAAGTTAATGTTACATTTTGTTTATTTAATCTGTACAAAAAACAAAGTGAACAAATATACCAGACAAATGCTGCATGTGTGGTATTGGACCTTGCATCTGAACCAGGGGCATTTTTGGGATCTTGGAACATTGGGGGCTTAGCCCAGCCCATAAAACTTCACATAATAATTGACCCCCCACCCCCACCCCAAAGTTAAGTCTGTAAAGCAGTATAGCAACAGTAAACATCCTCTACTTATACGGTACAACAAAACTCACAACAACACTATTAACTGTCTCACTTTGATGTTGCTAAATTGAAATGTCATGTGTCTAATTACAATAATATAACAACAAAACTGCGGCAGTATGAACAGGGGGTCTGGGTGTACTCCCCCAGAACATTGTGAGTGTTAAACACCTGCAGTCTGGTGTTTTTCTGCACCAATTTCTGCCTTTTCTGCATCAATTTATTGTGGAATTGCAGCTCTCAGGCATTCTGGGTTGCTTTCAGATGTTTCTCCTGTAGATCAACTTTTAATATCATCACTGCTGAATCAACACACACGCAGGCCTGACTGATTGAGGTAACCTCTTTAAATGTGCATGTGGCACCTTTTTACCTCATCAATAATACATTAAATCATTTCAGAAACTCCTGGACTTTAATAGCTCCTGTGTTTCAGCAGGTTTTCTGCTCATGTTCATAGTTCTGCCGCACTGTGTGGAAGGGATCCATACCACGGATTCTGCAACCCGTTGCACCACTACTATCCATGGTAGTGTGGGGATGTTTTGTTGTGCAGGATCACAGCCCCTGTGTGTAGATAGGCTATCAGAGTAAAAATGGACTGTCTATTGAATTAGACTAGGCAACTCGATGAGTTGATTTTTTTAAGTAGCCCATTAAAATATTCCTGCAAATGCAGTGAAGAAGCTGATTATCTGTAATTTATTTTGGGAATGTTTGTTTTGGGATTTTATCAATGTCATAAACGAGATCTACTCATTGATTGAAAATCTTATTTTCTTGGTGGTAAAAGAAATGGGAATTATTATTGATATTATAAAAGGCCATCTGGTCACGACAGAACATCTGTGATGTTCATTACATCTCAGTGTTCTGTATTGATCACCAGTAGTGGAGCTAAAAATGTCAACTTTGTCCCGAGGGTGCTCGAGGAAACTGAATATCTGCAGCAAATGTCATGTTAATCTGGAGTCCAACTGGCTAATTACAAAAGAAAGAAAATCTCAAATTTAGAGTTTTGTTTGCATTTCACCCTCCAGCCCTCATCTTACAGCTTAATAAAAACGTCCAACTGGCTGTAAACAAACAAACCTCCAGGTCAAGCAAACATATTTGGAAAAGAAAAGGTGAACCATAAAGTGCCCGTTGTCGTCCGGCCTGATCGAGTTTCTTCACCTGTAATGAACTACAAAGTGGGCAAACGCATCATTAAACATCCAATCCAGTTTTTTCTCTTCTGCACACCAGAATATTTCAAGGTTTAGTCGAGCCATTTCATGGAAAAATCATCATCATTTGTACAGTAAAGAAGACTCGCACTGAATATCTTTGAATCCTCAGTGGCTAAAGAGGAAGAACACCAGCTCTCAACTAAAGATCTTTTTAAATTATTCAGGGCCAAACTTTAAAGAAGTAGATTACATATGTGCATATTGAACTAAACAATAAAAGCTTATTTCTAATAATTATTCCTGTAGATATGCAGCATATCCACCTCCTCAAACATTGCGTAAAGCTCTTCTGCTTATAGAAAACTGTTTTTGTTCCATGTAAACATTTATTATTCTTCAATGATTTGGATCATTTCACAATTTTGTGTATTGACCCTGGTGCCCCAACAGAGATTTAGTTAAAAGTACTGGGACACCTGCTCATTACTTTTATGACATCCCGTTCTAAATCCATAAGCGTTAATATGGAGTTTGCAGCTATAACAGTTTGGGAAGGCGTTTTAAAAGACTGGAGTTTGTCTGTGGGATTTTTTGCCCCGTTCACCCAGAAGAGTGTTAGTGTCAGACACCGATGTTGGACGAGACGGCTTTCTGAGCAAAGGCCAGAGCTAGTAGGCCTACGTACTTTATGGTGACATTTTTACATTCAGTAAAGTTAAGTAACCGACTTGCAGTACATCACTTCCAAAGATAGTATGTATCATAGCAACCACAGCGTCTTGAAACCCCCCACTGCGCCTCCAAAGCGCACACTAGCGCTCCCAGCTACGAGTTGTCAGAACAGCAGCAGGCGTTTTCAGCTGGTAAAAAACACTTTGGTGGACATGGGCCCTAACTAGTAAAACAGAACAAGGGGAGCATGTTGCTCTAAAAGCAGCAAATAGGCACACTGGCACCATCTTTGTCTAATGAGTCTCTATACACAACCTGGAGGAGGAACTGTACATGAGTATCTAATAAAAATAATAATCTTTATTTGTAGAACACTTTTCAAAAACAGGTTACAAAGTGCTTTAACAAGTGTAAAGACAATAATACCCCAAAAACAATAATACAGAAACAATAGAAGATAAAAGCAAGAAAACACTGAAAAGACCAATATACATGTTTAAGATCAATATAAAATAAAAGGGATAAAATAAAGTCAAATAAGATCGGGAAAGGCTCTCCTATAAAAGTATGTTTTAAGAAGGGACTTAAGAGTTCACTGACTCAGCTGACTTGATTTCCTAGGGCAGGCTGTTCCAGAGCCTCGGGGCCCTGACAGCAAACGCTCTGTCCCCTTTATTATTACTAAAGAGTTAAAATAATAAAAATAATAGAGGAATTAGAATTAATGTTTAGTTAATAGTTTACTGTTAGTATACGGTAGGTTGTTGTCTTAAATGTTACTGGCAGACTGCTCAAAAATCTTTTTTCTCATTGTACGGATAGATTTTATCTGTTTTAGGGGCACATGCGAGAGCCCGGTGTGGACGGATATAATGAGCAGACTGCAGCGCGCGCACACACACACACACACCTTTTCTGTTTTAGTAAAATCGCACACGCACATTGCGATTAGATTAGTCGTGCGGCCCTACATAAGGTTGAGGTCAGGGCTCTGAGCGGACCAGTCAAGTCCTTCCATACCAAACTGGGAGAACCATTTCTTTTCTTTTCAATTGAATTTATGGAGCTGGCTTTGTGCACGGGGGCGTTTTCATATTGTAACAGGAAAACTCTGAAATGCTCATCTGAAATTGTACGCTGTACATCTAAACCGGAATATTTCAAGACTACTTCGAGAACCAACGTACAAGATAAATAGATTTGTCTCTGACCTTCCTCTGGCAGGTTTCGGCGGAGCGGTTCAGATCTACGACACATCGCTCTGGAAGGCGGAGCTGCAGGAAGCTCAGCCGCTGTTCGAGCATCGTGGTCACGCAGTTTCATCAGAGTCTGATGAATGCGTCTGTGTCACCTCCCACGTCTGGCATCCCGAGCGGCCACGGACGCTGCTGTCTGCAGCCTCGGACGGTTCCATCCACGTGTGGGACTGGGTCGACCAATCGGCTGCCAGCTGTTGACGGTCAAAGCGAAGATCCAGCTCACCTGATGAAATGATCACACAGTTCATCACCCTCTGAAACCACTGCTGGAAACATCAAACCGCCCTCTGTGGATTCCAGTACAGCTTGCATTTTTCATGATGGGTTGAAAGTGAAATATAATTACAGAAACTATTCAGGAGATGAGATCAGAGAACATCTTCAGTAAATAAACTGAACATGTTCGTTTTCTCATTTAACTAACAATGCAGTCAGATGGCTACTGGTTTTTGTATTACAGCACTTTATATTGTGTTCTTGTGTTCACTAATGAAAAAAAAAGGGTAACAATAAGTTCAACCAAAACACAAAAAGTGGTATCAGATCATGCTGATAGTTTGGATATTACGTGAGAATTGTTGCTATATTAAAGCAACATTATGCATTTAAATTTTTTTTATCTTAAAAATAACAGCCTTGAAAATCACTTTGATTGCACACTGACTTCTAGAATGGCGTCCATCATTGCCACTCGGGGCCCCGGGATAGCACCATCTGGTACGTAGCAGGGAAGTGAAGAGTAATGGCTTTTACTCGTTGAGCTAAGAGAGCTGAAAGGCTGCAGGACAGACGCTGAGCTGGTCTTCCATCTGTTTGGACTAGTCAGTAATAACACGTTACGAGTCTTGTGTTGCTTGATGTTCAGCTGTTAGCAAAGTTGTCGACTTGCTAGTTTTTGATCTTAATGTGACTCCTAACAAATGCACGTGTACAGCTGGCCTTATTTACCACAGCGGTGAATTAAAGTCTGAAACTGCATTGACACCAAACCATGAAAAAGACTTCATCTTACATAATGTTGCCTTAATATAGTTGGTAGTGGAGACAATATATTTATTTTTTACACTGCAAGTTAACGTAGCAACAAGATCGGGGAAAACACGGTTAAAGTGAATTCAGACTGATAATCAAAACAGCAGCACGTGGTAAAAATTTACCCAGCCTGCGTGGCTTTTCAAGATAGCACAAATAATCATAACAGTAAGACTGATGCAGAGTGCTGCAAATACAATCACTTCCACTGACTGTCTAACACTAGAGAAATCACAGTAAATACAGATTCAGTTTATTGTGCCGACCTTTTTCAGCTTTGAGACTTACATTTAAAACCACAATTGTGTGTTTACTCCACATAAGCGCCTTCTTATTTATCCTTTGGATCATTTCACATTTATGCCAACGGACCCTGGAGACTACTGCTTCTGTAGAAATTGTCTATTTAAACTGACAGTGTTTCAGCATACAGAAGATGCTATTAAGTCTAAGAAACACAAAAGAAACTGCACTTCCCCTCTACTGTATAGGACATTTAAAATACAAATATCTACAAATAAAACAATCTGCAACGGGGGATAGTGAGACAATCTGTTTAGGAAACTGGGTGACCCTTTAAAATCGATTAAACATTGTCGCAGTGTGACATCTGATGCAGCAATAACGGACAAAATAAATGAACTTCTCCATCAGAGAACAAAAAGTAAAGTTTCTGGTCTTAAGGAGGTTTATAGGAGATTTTTCTGGATGTAATGATGACAGTCAGATTTTAGTTTACAGAAATAAAACATTCCAAACATGTGATTCTCTGGCTGACTTTGTCTTTTTGTTTATGTAAGTGCAAGGACATTTTATCTTTCTGTACAAAGAAGGCCAGAAAATATGAGTCTCTGCTTTAACAAGAAACTGACTGTTTTGAGTGAAATTAAATTCCTCTAAAATTGCATGCTTAAACTCTGTAATTTTACAGCATGACATCAGATGCTTTGAAAAAGCCTTTTCAGCTCTGAAAGAGCAGATGTACTTAATCTACACAGACAGCTTAATGGTTTGTGTTTCAAATCATACTATACATCTATTTTACACACATCTATTAACAGAGGCCAAAATTAGTTTGTTGGTTTTTCAGTTACTGGTAAATTATTCCATTCTTACAAGTAACAATTAAAATGTTACTGTCAAAAAGCCATTTTACTAGTCATTAATGAAGACTAGCTTTCTAGTAAGAATTCAAATGTCCCTAGTATCTTTTGGAGTAGTTACTAGTAACTAATAAGTAGTAATAGATTTTAAATAGAGACTAGTAAATTTTAAGAAATAAATGTTAAAACGTCTTGCTATTATAATCGTTTATTTTTCATCAAGGTAAATTGTTCAATTAATCATGATTTTGATTTTAGGTGTTATTGTCCGGGGGGGGGGGCGAAGAAAGAAAAAAATAAAGGTGATTTATTGTACATTCAGACTTTTAAAACATGGTCTTGGTGCAAACAATAAAAAGGATGGTTAGTATCATTAGTAAAAAGTGATAGCAGCTCATTTTTCACCAATTGTCTTTTTTATGAAGCAATTTGCAAATTTGTTCCGACAAAAGGACTAAATCATGAAATTACTGAATTACGCCAACATTAAGTCTTATACACCTGGTCTGAAGGTCTCACTATGGGCCTGGTTGGATTTCCTACATATGAATTATATTCATTTTTTGCTTTATGCTCATCCTCAATCTGTGTTTTGAATTTTAAAGCTGGGTTTTCATGAGCTGAACAGCTTCTTTTAGCGTGTAATTATATATAAACAACATTTTGTGTTGCTCAAGATCATAATGAAATCAGTGTGCTGCACGTAGACAGTGTCGAGGGGACAGATGAAATTAAAGTGATAGTGAAGGTGCAATTAAGTCATTTTAGGGGCACAAATTACTAATGTGAGCAAACAATGAGGTCATTTGAAGGTGCCATTACTAAATTGAGAAGGAGATGAACATTTAGGGCATTATAATTAGCTAAAGAAGTTGAATAAAGTGAGATATAAAAACACTTTGCCTTCTGAGTGCTTCCAGAGTTTGAGACTTCCCCAGGTCTTCAGTGACCAAGTCACTCTTTGGTTCCTGTAGAGACATAATGATGTTTGTAAGTCAGCTGTCTGAGGTCTCTCCTTACATTTTTATATACATTGTCCTCAAAAACATCCACAATGTTGTCCAGAGTATTTTTTTTAACTTATTAATATCATCTAATATCATCAGTGCTGTCTTTTTACTCCAAATTTAAAATACTATTCAGATCATTCTCTCGTGTGTAAAGGCGATGTGAGGCGGTAGCTAGTGATGGCCAAATGAAGCTTTTGTGAAGCACTGAACCACTTGAGTCAATTGTTTCGAAAAAGGGTTCATTACTTGAAGCTTCAGTTACAGCGAACTCTCCTGGCGAAAAGCAAGGCTGCAGTCAAATTAGGCAGGTGGACAGACACGGACACGGACACGGACACACACACACCTCAGTGAGCAGTGTTGCTTTGATCACCCTTGGATTATTAACCATCTTTGCTTTGAAAACTATTTGATGCACACACACTAAGACTGAATATAGTGTTTTATATAAAAATCAAGATTGATTTTTGTGTGTAATGTGTTATTGAGGAGAGTGTGCTCGGATAATATGGCATAGGTTGGGTGTGCTTTTGTAACTATGGCAAGGGGTGATATTTGGGATGGGGAACACTCAGACTTTTATTGAGGTAGGGGAGAGTGGGTTGATTTGAGCCTGAGTGGAAGTTGACCCACCCCTGGTTTCTCGGCAACCCTAGACAAAATTGGTCATGTGACCACACATTTTTTGAAGAGTCATCCGGAAATACATGTAATAATGTCAGTGTCGATCTAAAATAAATAATATTCCTGACATCAAAGTAAAGAGTGAAGAAGATTAGTTTTGTTAAACAACTCAGGACAGACCACCCTTTGTATTAGACCACTGCATTCTATGGTGATGTCGATGGGTCGCAGGCTTGAGGCAGTTATTGCAAGCAAGGGTTATGCCACCAAATATTAAATGTTATTTACTTTAAGATTTGTTCCATTACTTTTGCTCACCTAACTGTTGCATTCGTCATTTGTGATGCTATTCCAGGCTTTTACCACAGCTTCTGTCAGTTCTTGTTTGTTTCAGGGCATTTCTCCCTTCAGTCTCCTCTTAAGGAGGTGAAATCAAGTGGGAAGCTTCTGGTCTACAATATGAAGCCAATGCGGAAGTCCCTGAAACTTGCATTCTATTGAAAATCCAGAAGGGGTGACTCTTCTGGTTGCAAAAAGAAGTCCGGCTCCATTAGAAATAATGGTAAATGACCCTACTTCTCAGCTGAATAATTACCCTAGTAAACATTATCCTGATGAGTTTATGGTCTCAGTCGCTAGTTTCAAGTCTTCTTCAATACAAAATGATGTTCATTTAGTAAATTATGGTCCCGTTTATTTAAAAAAAGACCTTAAAGCAGAGTATGTTTCAGGGCGGGATTATGTATGATTGACAAGTCGTTACCATGGCGACCTGTCAATCAGGCTAGAGTGACTCGTACCCTCTGTACTGTGTAAATTTAACCAGCACTGCTGAAAAAGCTTATTAGGAGTTGGCTGTTCACTTTATCTGTTGAGTACACTTAGTTTTGAGACTGTTTGCTAGACAAAGTTATCAGCCCTGTTAAAATGACAGTTAATGTGAATTACAGTTGCACTTAGCTAAGCAAGCTAGCTAGCTCCGCACAAGGCCGTTAGCTCCGCTGTATCGTCACTTCCTGGTTGCAAAAACTTGATAAGGCGGCGCCCTATCGGCCAAACTCAAGGCTTTAAAGAGCTTTAGAGATTAATCTTGGTCTCATCAGTCCATCAGATTGTGTTCCAGAACTTTTGTGGCTCATCTATGTACTTCTTTGCAAATTTCAATCTGGCCTTCCGATTCTTCCTGCTGATGAGTGGTTTGCATCTTGTGGTGTGGCCTCTATATATTTCTGCTCTGAGTCTTCTTCCAACAGTGGATTGTGATACCTTCACCCTGCACTGTGGAGGTCATTGCTGATGTCACTTACTGATGTTTTGGAGGTTTTCTTCACAGCTCTCACCATATTTCTGTCAACTACTGTTGTTTTCCTTGGCCGACCTATTTGATGTCTGTTGCTCAGTACACCAGTAGTTTCTTTCTTTTTCAGGACGTTCCAAATTGTTGTGCTTGCTATGCCCAATGTTTGTCCAATGGCTCTGCTCGATTTTCCTTCTTTTCTCAGCTTGACAGTGGCTTGCTTTTCTCCCACAGACAGCTCTCAGGTCTCCATGTTGGTTTATCCTCTTTAACAGGAAATTAAGTCTTTATAGGTTTGAACCAAGGATGAAAACTTAGACTAGTCATGCAGAGCTATTTAATGTTTGGACAATCAACCTAAAAGGCAACACCTGGGCAACAAGAAACATCTGGAAGTCACATGTTCCAATAGTTTTGCTCACTTGAAAAATGGGGTGATATGTCCTGAGTTGTTTAACACATCTAGATGTGAATACCAGGAAATGAGAGCTGAAATTCTGACCTCTTGTCTCAGACTCGTCTTTTGATCTTTAACCCAAATGTCTTCAGTGAACAACAAAAACAAAGGAATTTGCCTTACTGTTCCAATACTTTTGGAGGAGACTGTATATCTAGTCATAGATCACTACCAGTAGTATCAGCAGTAACAACAGCAGCAACATCCCCAGCAACCCCCTCCAACAGCAACTCTTTCTTGTAAGTTATGTCAGCCCACAGTGTTTTAAAGCAAAACCTGGGTATTCCCGGTGTTTCTTTTTCAAAACGGTGTCACAGCATTTGTTGATGTATCAATACAGAAGCATCAGTATAGGAATATCAGCAAGGAATACATAACGATATATTTTTGTATATTTTGAAAACAACCCTATTTAAATCCTTGTATACTTTCAGCACCTGCCCTTCCAAAGGTCTCTGTATGGCCCTGCTGTAGAGAAAGCCAACTGTAACTAAAAATGCAATTGGAGTCTATAATAGACAGGTTTCTGGTATACAAACACTACTGAATGCGCGCGCAGCCAGGGGGGCAAACGTGTTTTGGTAGCAGGTGTTGTGCCAAATTCTTCCTGCCTGCCGAGAACTGCATGTACCTCGCGGCTGGTAACGCTCATTTATGCTGAGAAAAGAGGTGGATGCAAATCTAGGCAGGTAGCCTACAACATCTGTTCTATCGAATATGCACCCACCTCTTAAGGTCCTTTTCAGACACTTTGCTGTGCACATTGATCAGATGCGGTAATCACCACATCTTATAGCTGAATCTCAATAAATGCTACTTGCTAAATGTAATAAAATATTAACGACCATTGATGGACCCCATGAAGGATATTCTAGTCTTTAAAAACAGTATTTGGAGGTGCATGCAATTGTTGGCAGGCATGCAAAACTCAGCATAACACTGGTCAGAAGACTGTAGTCAACTACTATAATCAACGTAGATTACGTATTGTTGTAAATTCTTGTTGACTTAATAATAAACTGCCATTTCAGTGTTGAATCTGCTTGTTTGTGTTTCATTACGCATATTAATATAACATGCACGACTGCGCTGAACCAGACCTTATGTTGTTCAAGTGGTCTGCTAGCCAAAAAGCTAAACGAGAATGGAGAACGAGGGAGAGAGGTGCTCTTTCCACAGCTGTAAGTCCTGCCAATAGGCCTGTTCTTTCTAGGCCATTAGGCTTAGCTTAGCACACTCAGAGATGCAAACATTGTCTTCCGTTGTAAACTTTG